AGTATATGTGTGGCAAAGGAGGAGGACAGGAAAAAGAAGAAAGAAACCATCCAAAGAGAAAGGAAGTTCCTTACTAGTACTTGGAGCATACTCGTCCTTGGCCACACTCCTGTCCCATCCTGGAAACACTGTTGGGTAAATTGTCTCCTCTGAAGAGTCTTCGTCATCTGAACCATAGCCACTTGAGGTCACATCTGCTGTGATGATGTTAAATCTGCCATGAAGCCCTAAACCACAAGGTCTTCTGCTGACAGCACTTAGCTTTCTTGTGTCCCCTCATGCAGCCTTACATTCACAGAGAAGAGTGTACAGCATCGTGTTTCCCACGATCCATATCCCCGCCTGGCTCTTCCACCCACAAGGGATTCATCATTCTGCCATGGCCCTGCGGAAGGTGCCCCAGTGTGGCTCTTGGCTACATTTCAGTGCCCCATGTATGCTCACACCACTAACCATACTCTGTCCTCTTCTAGCAGAGTGACCATAGTGTCCTGGCTTGAAAACTTGTTCCTCCTTTCTCCCACAACATCCTTCTCATTGGAATAGTCTACATCTAAATTGCCTCCAAACAGGAAAAAAAGAAAACCTCAAATACACCCTTTATAAAATGACTCACATACTCATCTTTTCAGACACAGACCTCCGCAGTACATGAACAATATGGACAACTGCGCTATCACTGCTAGATGTACAGTCGGTAAGAGATAGCCCAGTACTTTGCTTTTCCCACTTCAAACACATGGTAACAAAAAGCAGTGACATATACCACACATTCAACCCCCCTCCACTTAATGCTTCTGAAGCTTGTTGCCCTGGTGCTCTGCTTATTTAGCCCCTAATCAAAACACCCTCTTAGCACAAAAATCTTTACCCTTGGTTGCTTGTGTGGGTTCTCGCGTCATCTCTCCAGGATTTGACCACCACCAGTGCTTTGAGAATGGATTCCACCAAGCTTGGGTGGTGGTTTCCTTCAGGTTGTCATGATGAGGCCCTGGAGCTGTCAGGACATGGTTCATGCAACCAAGATCTTGTTATTATTTCTTGAGAAGAACTTTTCTCCAGCAAAGTCAAGTCTGCTAGGACCAGCTCCCTGAGCATGCTCATGCCACTGAGATGGATGTGAGTGCAAGCCGAATGTATGAACCTGTGGTATCATTACATTCATTCAACAGCAAAAATCACCAATGCGTTTAGTGTAAGTGAAGTTTGAAATGTTCTACTAAAGTATAAGATTGTGTTACCAGCTCTGAAAGTCCAGTAAAGTCAATGAATTCTTCATATCATTTTTAAGTGCAACAGGTTAAATTATGTACATGTGAAATATGTCCCAATATTTTGACAAAAAGCATTTGAAGTTAATAGAAGCATGCACATCATAGAATTGAAATCCCTCAAGCAAGCCAGTTGATAGTTTAACCTTCCTGTCTGTGAAGTTACTCATCAATGAACTGAGAAGCAGTTTGCAAAGACAGCTGCACTTGAAGTCATACACATATTCACCAAAAGAAAGCAAAATCTACTTCAAAATGTTTATCTGGAAATATTTTTATTTTGGCAATTCCTCACAAGCAGTATTTTTATCAGCATTTAGACCATCTTCTGTATCTTGAAGATGAAGAAAATATATCATGTACTCTTTTTCATTCAGAAAAAAATCTTTCAATGATTAATTTAGAGATATACCTTGAAGACTAACATCAGAGACACTAGCTTTGCTCGATTTTTGTGCAATATATGAAAGCATTGGAAAATGCAATACCTAGGAATTAAAGCTCTAATGCTCAAACAGGTTAAACTGATGTTGTTAGTCTGCAGTAGTTATGTTTTGCTTATCTGTAAACAGCAAAGTGTACAAAGTGCGTGGACTTAAACTCAGAACTGTACTTTTCAAGGTGTAGCTATTTTGGCAACAACACCTAAAAAATTTTGCCTTTTTTAGAAGGGGTCCTTGACTGAATAAATAATGTCTTTCCTTACAGTCACTAACTGCTCCCTAAATTTAGTACTACTAGTACTATTCTGACACTAGTGTCAGAAAATGGGAAACCTGAACATCCAAACTCTGATCTCTGAGTGACAGAAAACCCAGGTGGCCTTAGATTTGGAGCTTTGGGATGGAACTGTGAACAAAATTATAATGCCACAAAATTGGTTAACAAGAAAATAACTGAATGATTAGTTCAGTAATTGCCATCCGACTCGCTGTAATCACAGAAAAATTCTCACCTCTACCTGTTTTCCACAACAAGCCTTAGACACTCATTTTCTTAAGTGATGAATATGTATTCATGGCTCCCTTTCACAGACAAAATACCAATGCAGAGGCTTTCCTGTCAGATCAGCCAAAGTATGGACAGAAGACTTTTTTCATTGATGAGATTTTTTTTCAGGGAATGTTCCAAACCGAATAAAAGGAAAAACCACCAGAGCATATAAATGTATATTATATATGAATGAACAAATCAGTTGCAGTTATTGTTTGGGTAACAAGCTCTGATAACTTAAGGAAGTACCTCATTGATCAGCAACAGAATTTTATGACATCTGATCCATGGCACATCTACAGATGAATCATAACTTGTTAATAACAAAGAGGAAAACCTGTTTCAGTCAAGAGGGAAAGTCAGTGGCAAAGTGCTGGCAGTGTATTAATCTGGACTGTGAACATGATGGAGAACATCACGAATAATGTCCAAAGCCAGAACAATAATAAAAGGGGATCATCTGAAGAACATCTGAAGAACAAGTGGCAATTGCTCACTTCAGACCCACGACCAAGAAATGTTTGGATCAAGTTAGACACCTTTTCACCAAACTTTAAGTTTACAAATGGTGTCTAGTACAGATAGAGAGCCACTGGCTTTGTTTCTCACTTTTATGCGCTATCGAATTAAACAGATATATTTTTAGCCCTCTATCTGAAGGTATATGCTGGATAGTTTTCTTTACTTATTTCTTAATTTTCTACTTTTCTGTCTGTGGGATTTTACACTGGGAAATTAAATTGTGTCTGGGATATTCCAATAAGCCTGCACTGTTGCACAATGTAGATAGCATACATTGGGGCATGGTTTTATCTTTTCTGTTTGTTCTCCATGTAGCTTTCTCCTATGCTACGGAATACTTGATGACTTCTCATGGAGCTGCATATCTTATACTTAATTTCTGAAAGCAGTGTTATATTACTCATTCATTTGTAATGCAGTAAAATTAAATGAGATGGGTCTGTTTGGCTTTAAAGTGATGTTGCTGAGTAATAGCTAAAGCTATCAGAAAAGCCCAGATGTGGTACCTTCATAATCTTTTCATCCAGAGAACCAGTCTATCAACCCTAAACCAATAAGCAATCATGTCAAAGTTATCACTTCTGTGATAAACATCTATCAGTATTGACATCTTTTAAAACATATCTCTTTAGTTATTTTGATCTTTTACAATCATAAATGCCTCTAGTTTTCCCTTTGTAAAAGAGTCATGCCCATGAGAGAGAATTGTTAGCAACAGGAAGGGACATATGTATTTAGGATCAAGGCATTTGATAATCAAGTAGGAAAAGGCAAACCAAGAGCTTTCCCACGTAGAAACAATGCACAGGTTTTTGCAATGGGTACAGAAACATCTGTACAAGGAAACACTTCAAGTCATGCACACATATAAAAGCAAATAAATATGAAGGAAAAATGACCACCAGTCAACGAGACAAACTCTCCACAGTTAACAGGTGGGAGTTCGCCCCCCCCCCCCAGTCTCCCCACTTTACAGACAATATCTTGTAGCAAAACCTTTCACTTGAAACAAGCACCAGGAAATTTTCTACTCGCTTTCCAGGTCTGGGGGAAAATCAACCTGATATTTCTTTTTTCCATCTACATATTTATAAGGTGTTACTAACCTTCACATCCTCTGAGACAAGATGCTTGGCTGAATGATTTGTTTTTTAGTAAAACTTTTGCTAACTGTGTAAGATACACAATCATTCTTACTCTATCATGACTTCTAAATACAGGACAATGCCTCCAAACCACATAGACCATTTGACCATCTATCAGCAGCCAATAAACAATTAAGCAAATTCCTTACTATCATGGGCTTCCACAGTGGGGAAAAAAGTCAGCAGGAAGTAGCTTTCATTTCTGCCTATTCAATCTTTACCACAAAATGCCTCTGTAGATCTCCTCTGTGTAATTAAAATGTTCTCCATTTACATGCACTTTATTTTCTGGGCAAAGATCTTAATCACTCTAAACTTAAGAACTAGAGTTAAGGTATGTATATTTCCACTTCAAAACGTGTAAGATGACTTGAAAATTTTTTCATTTGCTGTAGATGCTGTGCACTACATATTTGATAAAAAGTCACAAGTAGTTTTTCCCGCTCAGTACAGCTATTTAAAGACAAAGCAGAGAAAATGGCTACTGTTCTTTTGAACCCTCAAATCCTGTGGAGCCTCCACAGGCCCCGATTTTTTCTCATGCATATTGCCAACAACAAGGATGAAATTAATTTTAGCAGTGCACAAGTGGCTTGGCAATTGGAACTGCCTCTTAAAGCAGTGCTTTAGTGAGAGAGGCTGTGGTTTTGTCATGGATCACCCACATTCACAACCATATATATATTAGAAACACAGACACTTTCATCACAAATTGACAAAAATGCCCTTTTCTACCTCAGAAATAAATTGACTTCAAGTGATAATTGGTTGCACTAATGTGTGGTGCCTCACAGAGTAAGAAGGTGTGATAACAAAGCAGTGGGAAACACAAAGCAACAATCTTTCTGAACTCACTGAAGTAAACACACAGTAAATGTTTTTACTCCCCTTGTCCCAGAGAGTGAAATTTATTTCTGACCTAACCAGTCTGGAAAGTACTGTCTTTCAATGTCTTTCCAAAACAGGAGATGATGTATACTTCACCACTTACCAGAATGCCCTGTTGGAAGAAGAAAGCAGTTTTAATGCAATTTGTATTTGATGTCTTATTATAATACATAAATCTTACTAGTACTCGCAGGATACTGTCCACCATCTTTTCCAGGGGAATCATCAGCTGTCGTCGCCAAAGAGATATCAGGTGATACAGGAGAAACTTCATCATCTGTAGGTGATGGATAAATCATTACTATTTAATTAATTGAGTTGCAACTCGGTACTCACACCTACTTCAATTATTCTATACTGCAAGCTTCATTCCTTCATTTATTGAGGAGTGCAAGAGAGAAGAAAGATACAGACTAGATTCTTCACAGAATTCAATCCCAAATGGCCTTACTTTACTAACATCATAAGGATATCAAAGAGATATGGAGAGAATGTTAGGATTTACCTTTTAAGATGCTAACTACATGGAAAGACAAGCATAACATGTTATGAATATACCACCAGTGAAAAGTAATTTTATAATCCTAATCCATTAGGATTATATATATAATCCATTTTATAATGCTTCCAAGCTCGCTCTCTCTTTTTTTTTTTTTTTTTAGTATTTATTGAGGATAATGATGCAAACTACTGGTTTCCTTTACTTGTAAATTATTGGTGATTTGAGCCTGTAGTTAGAGGCCACACAGTAAACTTTACTGTACTTAGAGGATTAATTATATTTGTAGCCCTTAGGTTCAATGGGAGCTAGTCTTTCAGACCTCTGATAATTTTAGCCACACAAGCAACATAAAAGATGAAATAAAATAAGTGCCACTGTCACAAGAAAGCAAGATACAGGCAAGGTACTCTAATTCACTACTTTGCCGCTCTGCAGAATGCCCTAGAAAAGAGTATGGCATTTGTATTTGGTAGGGCTTCATGAAACAGAATTTGGCTTTACCACTTAAAGGAAAAAGATATTAATAACATTTTAATTTGACATTTTTGTCTCTCAGTGGATTCTGTAATATGCTGTAGTAAGAAAATGTCCTAAAACCCCCTTGTATGTGTACAAAGAGAAATCTCTTGTACTGTAAACTCCTCCTTGTTCTTATTACTTAATGTCAATTCATCCTTTTAGAGAACGAATGAGAATATTATCCTTATCTCTATATAGCCGTGCCCTCAGCCTCACTAACCTCTCCATGTTCACTTCTAGATATGTTTTGAGCCTTTAATGAAATAAATATTTTAATAAGAACAAGAGCAAATTCTTAGAATCATCTATTCTCAATATCCTGGGAAGCTTTATGTGGGAAACAATACTGACCCATAGATGCTTTTTACTCCTGTGCAATTAAAAAAATCCTTAGAAATTCAGAATGCTTTTGTTTTCCTTCAAAGACACACATTCTCCTTTTACTTCTCCAGGATACAAATTAGAGATTGTACTTCTCATTCCCTCATGACACCCTTTAACTAGCAGTGTAGTCCTTCATTCAGTTATTTTAAAGGGGATATAGTGGGAACCTCCTGTCCTTACCAGAATCTTCTCTGGGAATTTCTTTTTCACCCGCTCCAGAAGAATGATCTGGCATCTGTGAGACTGGAGTAATGCTTCCATAATATGAGGGGCTGGATGTCCTGATGGAGGTATCCACACGAGTTGTGTCATGTGTTGATCCACTGCCTACATTTTCATCATCTACACCTGAAGTTGAGGACTCCCCGCTATGACGTGTGCCATCTGCATTATAACGTGAGCCATCTGCATTGTCTATGACTGTTGGAAAAAGAAAATTAAGCAGCTGATAGTATCAAGGAACTACATATCTGTATTTCAGTAATGCTAGACAGTTTAAGGCCTATAACAAAGAAAGATAAAGAGAAATAGTTGTGGATTAACATAATTTCATCCATTTTTGCCATCCTATCTAATCTGTCTAGATCATACATCACTAAACCATGTCTAATGTATACATTTGACAAACATATAGGGCCTATTCGCCATCAGATATTTTGATATTTTGATCTGTTTGATTTTGAACATAAAATTTTGGCCTCTGTAAAGTCAATCAGAATTTTAGAACTGGGATAAATAATTTATTATGGTATTTTTCTTCCACTTCCAGCTGCTTCTCTAATCAGCAGCTCAAATGAGATGTAGAAAGGTTGCTGTCTTAAGCAAAGCCCTATATGTCAAAGAATCATTAGCAGCTCTGAGGTGGTAAAAAATGGAAATATCTATATAAAAAATGTTTAGTAGCACTCTGAGACAAATCAGACTCCATAGGATTTAGGGGAAGACAAGTGAGTAATTGTTTTAATTGCTGTTGAACAAGTCTTGATTTCTTATGTTTGTCTTGATTTTTAATATTAGCAATTGTTGATGTAAAAAAACCCCAACAAACCCAGATCCTAAAAATGAAACAAGTGGCAGGTCTCTCTAATCAATACAGTACCTATTTCATCCTGATTATTGAGCAAAGAAGTATCTAGTCTTTCAATTGGCTCACATGCTTTGTCCCTTGTTTCTGTAAAAGAAGGAAAATAGAAAATATGAACCTGAGAAAATTGAGAAAAAAGTCACATACATACCCATATTGATTATACATAATCACAAAACATCAGCTTCATATGTGAACAACTGAAAACAAATTTCCAAATCAAATGTTATTCACTGATGTATCTACATTCCCTTTTTGGTCCTTCCCAGCTGGGGCACTTCAAGATTGTTCTGCCAGCTAATGATGAGATTCTCCATTTCCATAACCACTCCAGAAAATGGTTGCAACCAACATCGGTTATAATAGCCTTATGGCCCGGTTTCGATGCAGACAACCCCACAGTCATGATGGCAGCGACAGCTCTAATCCTTTTTAGCCAGAGGGGCTGCATCCGCTCCATGGAAGGCTCTGCACAGACAGTGTGCCCTGGTCTGGTGAGCACTGCTTACTCCGGCGGCCTGCAGTGCCACACTTGGCACCAGAGTGTGAGCCTCCTGCTCATTGTGCCAGAAGGGAGTAAGATTCAGGAGGAGTTAGAAAACTCTGGTGGGGATAGACATATATACAGCAGAAGAGTCATCTTCTGGGTGACAGAGGATGGCAGCTCACCTGATGCTATGACAATGCAAAGATGATTTTTAATGATATGACCACCAAGGATGAAACCAGAAAATGTCATTCAAATCTTCAGTGAATTTTGCCTACAGCTTCTGAAATCTGCTGTAAATCTGAAATCGCTCCTGTCCAGATTTTATCTTCAAATACTGTGTCCAGCATCTGTCACAAGATTATCGAAATTTTCCTAATAATTTAGTAAAATATTTCCAACAATGAAAATGTTCAAAACCTGAGAAGAAAGCAGTCTGCTTCTGGCCTGCATTGCTATCTAACTGCCTAATGTCTTAATGGAGAGTTGCCTGAAAGCAAATGCTGGATGAACCTGCAAACAGCAGAGCAGCAGCCACGTCCATGGGCCTGGAATGGCCACCCCGGGCCAGCAGATTCACTGCTGCAGTGTGTCACTGTGCTAAACCATTATAACGAACCTTTCTGAAGCTACGAAGTTAGTCCCAAGGGCAGAAAATTGTTTAGTTCAAAATACACGAATGACAAAATGGGTTGAACTCATTGCTGGCATTATAGATACACTTACAGAGGCTGAAAACCAGATGATATTTAATATAGAAGCCCTCATTCCAGTTCCTTATATAAGAGATTACAAATGTTACTGTTAGTTAATCTATATCTAAAATACATCATAAAGGCATATACATACCTGTTGCATTGTAACAGTATGCATCATACCGACCAGTTGTGTTTGTTGAAAGTTTGTAAATACCAGTATGGTTTGCTGCACAAAGATGATAGGGGTTGATTCGTGGGATAACAATATTCCCCACTACAAAACCATACCTGTGAAGAACAGTGGAAAATACACCACATTGCATATTATAGCAGACAGCAGAAATGTTCTAGATATCTCAAACGTGAAGAAGCTATGAAGAAGCCATTATTTTAATCTTACATTATTTTGTTAAAAAGTGCATGTGTTTCTGCATATTTTTTGTATATGAAGGGTGTTCCTTTCTCATATGTAGTGGCATCCAGCCACTCAACACCATTTTGCATGTAATTTCTAGAGCTAAACCCATTTTAATGAAGTCAGCATCTTACTAGCTAGGACAATTGGCTCCAGAGCAAGACAGTGAAAGTGAGGGACTAGAGGCAAGAGCACTTTTTATTCAGTGTAGGGTTGTATTAATTGACACTAAAGACTGACATTTTTTTCTTCAGGGAGTCACATTTTCATTGCTTTGAGCAGTGACTTTTCATACAGAAATGTTGGGGGCTCAATTTATAGTACCTAAGCAAATTTAGAGAATGATTGTAAGACACATCACTTTCTGTAAAAGCTGACAGCTTAATAAAATATTCAGGTACAACACAGATTCCTACTGTATTTTTCAGTCAAACAATGTGGTTATTGTGTACAGAGTTCACATATTTCAGTGAAGACTGTGGCTAGCAGAGCTACATAATGCACAATACATTATCACTGTTTTTCAATCCTGTGACACCTGATTAATCTCAATGTATTTAGCTGGATCATGTGATAGAACTGGGGTTTGGTTCAGGTTTTGTTTTATTTCTTGAGAGGTACAACTTAGGGAGGAGTAAATCTCATAGCTCTGTAGTTTTTCATCTGTGAGCCCTATTCCAGTCACATACCTATTGTGCAGATACTTGCAATTCTGAATCTCTTTTGTAGGTGAAATTATAAACCACTTCACTGACAATTCCAGCTGAGCCTACAATGCTGACACTTTATAATCCATTAATCACCTACTTGTGTAATGGTCGATTCATTTTATTCAGTCAGCATTCCAGATCTATTGTGATGATTATATGCAGAATATTTTTTCTTTCCTATTCAAGCTTGATAAGAGCCTAGCCTTACTGACAAGGACTTCTAGCACAGGATCAACAAATGAAAGTAAGCAGGTGGGAGGGCTGTCCAGAAGGATGAGGGAGAAGGAATCCTAGCTATATGCCTAACATGTCCAAACCTGTCCTCTGCTAAACTGTGAATTAGGAAGAATTGTAACATCAATGAAAAACTATAGCAGAAACCCTTTTCCTCTACTCCTCCTTTCAATTATCTTTATATTTTAACTTCAGAAAAGACTTTCCACATTGCAGAATACTCGTAATGGCTGGTGCTAGAAAGGTCTACCCCTAGGCATTTAGTTAGGACTTGATCCTTAGTCTCTACCTATTGTGTAGTGCTGGACAATTCAGAACGTTATGTTCATATGCTTATGTTAGAGAAAGAATGTCCATACTACGTTATGCAGGTATTTTCCCTCAGAGTAAAGAATTGTCTCCAGTCCTCATGTGGTACTATTTTAAACAACTTTCCCACTTCTCACAGAAGATTCTTCTAAGAATTTTCTGTCTATTGTTCCCTGATCCTGTTGTCCACCTCCTTCACCACTGTGCAGGTCAAATGCTTGTCAAAATGACCGTGCCGTATGTTGTCATCAACAGCAGTGCATGAAATTTATATGTATAAGAATGTTTTCAAGGCACTGCAGATGTAACTTTCCATGATTACAGATTACTTTGTATGGGTACTATTGATTTGAAATGAGCTTTATTCAGTTCTCATGGGCTTGCAAGCCAGTAGGACAGAACATTCATGCAGCAGGCGTTAAAAATGTAAAGCACCACTGACTAAACTGAAATTAAATAATTCACAGGAAATAGTTGCAGACAGTATTGATGATAGTACTATTTCTCGTGGTACCAGAATGAAAGTCTTAACGTTTTCTACTCCAGTCAGTTAGGAGATAAATGCCATTTCTCCATATTTGGTGTTTATTTTAGGTTATAATAAAGTTGAAAATCTACTGAAATTTATTTCAACTCTATAATGGCTTGCCAACATGAATCTATGTTATTTGATTTAAAAAAAAAAAAACCAAAACAAACCCCAAAACAATTCAAATGTACAGCTCCTGCATTCAAACTCTTTCTGCATATGAATGTTTAGGATGACTTGTGTAATAAGTGCATTATGTATTCTGTAAAGATCATCTAGTCTGATGTACTTACAGATCACAGGACTGTGCCAACTTGATTACTGTTTGAACAGAGGGCATCCTTGGGGAAAATATTTCATCTTGATGAAATTTTGGTGTGACAAAGAATCTATTACAACCCTTGTAAGTTTTTTCAGCCATTAATTATTATCCTTATGTATTATGTTGTATTAGTATTCGATTTTTTAATCCAAAATTTTCTGTGATTACCTTACAGTCTCTTGGTCTAGTTATTTTTTGTTAAACTGAAGAGTCTGTATTATCCACATTTGTTGTCCTATATGTTATTGACTACAGAGTGTAATCAAGTCACTTAACAACATGGTTTGAGGTTTTTAAATAATTTTTATGGCTGTGTTCTCCTGAAACTGCTCCAGTCACAGATTATAAGAATGCACTAATACTGTGGTCATTTTTTCACAAGGATGTCAAGCTCATCCCTCACAGGACCACTTGCTACTTTTTGCTATTTCTTGACAAGACAGAGTTCCCTATACCGTATATACCATCTTCAGTTTTGACCTTACATCAGGTCATTAAAAAACATAAGTACTTCTCATACTTATCTTTTCACATACTTATCTTACCAAGTGATAATGTATGAACTGAACATCTTCCTAATTAGTTTACTATACTGTCAATCTTTTGCTATCTTTAGATTTTATCTGTAAGAGGTCATGATTTTTTAAAGATAACTAGCAAAAAGTATATGCAGTGAAGGACTTATTTATCATCAGACCCAGAGCAAACGTACACATGCACAGAATGTTCATTACAGAGCATAACTTGCTTGAGGACTGATATGGCCATCTAATTAACAGCTAAATGAAGTCAATTGTAATTATTACACTATAGCATGGATGGATGGACTTGTCATAATGTATTATTTTTTCAAAAATTTATTTACCTGCAAGTTTCAAATCCAAGTTCATGAGCTTTCTTCAACTGCTCTAGTGTTGACAAAGTACTGTTGAGAGCTCTGCACAGTTCAACTGCTTCAGGTCGTGTGAGACTGTAGCGACCATTTTTCTCAACATGAAAAACTCCTCCGTATCTGCAACTTACATTGAATTCTGTTACCAAAAGAAAAGAGAAAAAGGAATCACAAATGGTTGGACTTAATGCTTCACTAAAGGCCTGGAAATGATTTATTTTGAAGTATAGTGCTTTCAATGCAAACCAGCAATAAGCAGCAGCTATCCATTTGTTCAGAAAGAGTGCTAGCACTTTCAATCATCTGCTTCATACTTCCCTTCTTTGGGCTGAGACACAAGCCAAAACTTCAGCCTTTCGAAAAATAGCAACACAACATGTTTTTGTGAGGTACCACTAACAATAACATGCAGAAAATGTAAATAATTGTGAAAGTCTTGAAAGCCACATTACTGCAAAACTAACTGAATATTCAAATATATTTGTAAATAAAATATTTAATTCATAACAGATTTTTTAAAGATTAAAAATTGTGTATAATCAGCCATTATGGTCATAAAGTTCCTTAATTATCTCATTATGATCTCTTCACAGTGAATCCTTTTAAATGAATATATACATCAGTCCCCAGTTTCAGAATTAGTTCAAGCAACATGTTCCTATTACTAGCTAGACGAAAGCAGGAAGCATGCATTGGTCTGATGTTGCATGGTCTACCTGAGACAAAAAAGCTGCACAGATATTCGGAACTAGAAGAATTACGCTGTTAAATACTCCCTGAAAGATAATCTTTAAGCTCTTCTTATCCATCATGCTGGGGCAGATAGAGAAGCATCAAATACACATTATATAAGACTTCACATGAATGAACTTCTTGCTCCCTGTTCATTCATCTTGACAGTATTTCTCTCCACTTTGAAAGGCTTCCTCTTGCTGGGTTCATACTCACACACAAACATCTTACTGCCAACCCATGTCAGAGCTTTGATATGTACTGCAGTAAGCTTATTTAATGTTAAAAGATGACTTAGATGGATTTTAATCTAATAATACTGTAAAAGTTTGCACATGGAAGTACTTTCAATAGCAAGCAACATAGGGATAAAAACAATGAATAATAATTAAAAAAAAAAGGTGCGATCATTAGGTTGTGCAATTTGTTTTCTGGCCTTCAGCCTGGGAACTCTGAACAAGGAGTACATGCAAAAAGCCTACAGGAAGGGAGCGCCTCAGACAATTCACTACAAACACTGAACAAAAGGCATAAGGGCTAGAGGCTCTGAGGAGATCATACTCTGTTCATCTTTATATTGGAAAGATACTGCCTACACAATGCAACAGGTACAGTGGGAAACAGCAAGTCTGTGACTGAGTAAAGAGAGAGGAAAAATAACATTTATTTATCATTTTTTTTTAAGAGGAACCGCTAAGAAAGAATTAATAATAATAATACAAATAAGAATAATGTGTGTGGAGAAAACGGGGAAAGATCAGGATGCTTCAAAGCAATGTGAATTAACTTTGCTCATGCCCCACCTTCCCTCAAGAGAAAAAAGTGGTTGCAACTCCAGACTAGAATGACAACTGCAAAGCACACTTAATTGGAGTAGTCTATTATTCCCAGTGAAGGCAGGAGCATGACTCCTTTTTATCTTAATTTTATTGGGAGTTCCACGTGCAAGAAAGGGAAAAATAGACCAGTCTTCTCCAAATATTAAAAGGGGGTGTCTGTACCATCTGTTTCAAATACAAGATGCTATGTAATAGCTGGTTTCCAGAAAGAGCCAAAATGCAATCCATGCACATTCTCCTTGACACGTTCTATGGGAATAACAAGCAAAATTTTAAATATCATTTTTGCTTGAAAGTCTATTCTCTTCCATAGCATAAATATGAAGGAAAATGATGGTAATCAAGGCGTGCACTCTACCTTCAATTGGTTTTGCTCATTGGTTGTTCTGTCTACAGTGTATCTACTCAGTGTGAACTGCAAGGAATGTTCCTTTCCATAGGTAACAGAAAACAATCAAGGAGGTAAAATACCAGATTATATCCAGACTGTATGGTGTATGTACCTACAACATAGGTAGGAGTTCAATAGTATTGATGACTGCTTATCCAAAGGAACTCAAAAGCTGTACCTCCAGTCTTACTTTCACCATAGTCAACCGACCAATCGTGATAGTTACTGGGATCGCCTTTCAACAAAAAGGATGTAAAAAATATATCTTCTCCCACCTGCCCCACCAGTTATTTAGTCTGACAAAAACATTTAATGTAGACAAAATCGATATATGTTGCAGAGCTGTTTAACAGTCTTGATTACAGTTCTCAACATTTTTATTATCATATGTTATAAAAAATACCAAGAGGACATAATTTTTAGTTTTGTGAAATTTATGCAAGACTAACATGTTTTCTCAAAATGACACAGCTGTTTTCTTCCAGGGAAAAATAGTTCTACTAAAATGACAGACAGAGCTTTTGAAGGCAAGAAATAGGAACCTGTGTAGAAGAAGACACCAACAAATTAATTTTTCTTTCCTGGAGGAGTTAATGTCTTGCAACAGGGCTGAGTTTCACAGTCTGAAGAGAAGCTAGTGGTTTAACATAAAATGATAGCCTCAGCAAGTTCCCACACATGATTCTGGAATAGTCGTGGTGCTTCCACCAGTGCCAGAGGCAGCCATGCACAACACTGGTCCTGGGGAGAGCTGATGGACTAGAAACTTTCTGCGGCCACACCCCTCACCAAACAGCACTGCCTGCCCAAAAGCCATCTCCGTGTAAACACAGTGTCCCAAATATAGTCCACGGACGTCCAGGTTGCACATTCCAATAGATGTTTTCTTACCAGAACACAACGAACAGCTACTCTGTGTGTAGTGACATAGCCCACGACTACTGCTATGGGATGGAACTGCTCTCACAGCTGCCGTGTGAGTGACTTCTGCTTTGGCTCCAAAGGTATTCAAAACCTGACATTATTTTGGAAGTTGTCCAGCCAGTAGGTATATTAAACATAAATGACCTAGACAGGATAAAGGCTTCTCTTTAGTTTTCCCTTCCTGATTCTCTCTTCCCTGTAAAACAAGGCAAGCCTAAATTTGTTAATAGTTAAATATACTCTATGAAGCCCCAAAAAATATTAAATTTGGGGATCAGATCACAAAGATCTATCTGATTAATTTAAAGTAACAAGCTCAGTGATTTTGGAACTAGATTTTTTTGAAACAACATCTCTTCCAATAAATTTAGGATAATTTATGAAGAACTATTGCTATGAAAGCAGATACCACATCCTCTTGCTTTGGGTTGCATTTGAAGCCTGCAGTTTATCCCAGATTCACTGAAATATTAAAGTAAATTTCCTTCAGCTGTCTTCAAACCTCAGCCCATTCATGGTTTTAAAATACTACAGTATATGTTCCATTGCTACCCAGAGATCCAACCGTAGCCAGAATCTCACTTATTAGGCAGCCAATTCCTTAAACTCCTGCTGCTGAAAATAAAATAGGCTTATTTAGACAAAAAAAGCTTAATGGAACTACTTGTGGGGAACAGTTTTACATGTACATTTTCCAGCATATGTACTGTACACCAGGACACATCTGGGAAGTATCAGGTTTACTGCACATGTGCTGAGCAACTGCAGCACACGCACACACAGAAGGGCCAAAGATCCCAGGAAGCCTCGCTCATGCAGTGTGGGAGATCATGAGGCTGTCCAGGAAAACCTGGGTGAAAAGGTGGCAATCCCAATTCTCCAAACTGGTTGTGAGGTGATCCAATTAGTTGTCACTTTGACCTAAAGTAATGTTGAGACAGCATGTTTTGTTTTTATTTTGATGGTATCTTCTACACCTACTATTAAAAATGTTTGTAACACTGCTGTAGTATAGACAATCTGTTCATGAAGCAGTGAGTGTGGAAAAAAGACTACAGCAGGACATAAAACTCACATGACATTTCACAATCTAAGAAAATTGCATAAACTCGGCATCTCCTCTGTGAAAACAGTAATTGCCACATTTTAAAAATGTCAAAATACAAATGCAGAGCATACTGCCCAGAGCTGTCAGGGAATCCACTGTTTTTATTTCATGGTCTCATATTTTAATGTCCAGACAATGAGGACTCTGAATTAATGAAAATATTTCTCGTCAAATCTATACAAAACTTACTAAAAATAAAAGATGGGGTCTAAACTAAATTAACACCTTACATTATTTTTTTCCAGGCTGAGGCTTATAGACTGATTTTGAGTTAAGAAAGAAACATGATTGCCAAATCCAAATCTGAACACGTATTACACCTTTTCCCGTAGTACAGGAAGGTCAAAGCCATTAATTTTATGTCGATGCTACTTGGCTGGCTTTAACACGGTTATGAAAAAGATGGGTTTTTTTCTTTGTTTCAAGAGACAAGGCAATGCAAAACTTACACCATGTGCCAAACTGTTACTGATCCCCTCAATCCCTTTGAAGTTTCAAAGGAACTAATTCAGAGTGGACTTGCAGTGGAACCACAAACAGCACCCAGATATTCCCTTCTGCCCTCTCTTACAGCTGGTAGGCTTTGTGGGCTGACAGACAGGCCGTGATCTTTCCCTGACATCCACATGATTTGCTACAACTGAAAGACAAAATTGTTTAGTAATAGCTCTTTTAAAAGGCAAAAAGTACCGGACATGCCTGAATTGTCATCATCATTAGTCTCATTCAGAGCATGAGACCTGGGTGACTCAACCCAAAGTCATGGAATGCCCCTAAGCTTGTGCTGGGTTTTATAAGCATGGAGAACATTAACTTTCACACAGGCCATTTCTCCCTGTCTTTCCTGGGATTCCTGGTGCACCGTCTCAAGCAGCTGCATTCAGGCTCTTCTCTGCTATTGCCATTCACGTATCTCAGCCAGACTCAATTAATACTTTTCAGCCAGAATCACTAACTCCAGTTCCATGGACAATTTGCTAGTTGGAGTCCACTGGTGTGATAAAATTGGGTGAGACAAACTAAAGAGCATTGTTCTATGAAAGTATGAGTTACACCCTGATTAATAATACTAGAGGCTTGTTAGAAGCTGTCACAGTAAGAAGCCAGGTGCAATCTCCATTTCCACCCTGGTTCTGCAACCCTTA